GGGTGCCTGGCATGGACTTCTTACCTGGGTTTCCAGATCTTTCCTTCTCGTGGCCGCTGTTATAGCTTAAAACTTGACGGTAATCTCTGTGTCATGGTTCCTAGAAAGAAAACAAACGGCAAAGAGATGGGCACCGCCGCCCCAGGAAGGGAAGCGATGGCCCACAGTGGAGTTTTCTTTACCTGATGATTACATTTTGACATGCAAACAAATTCGCCTTAAGTCAAATCACAAATACAAATAACAAACAATCCGATTTTGTCTAATGTGTTATAATGATGAGAATCTTGAAGAGGAAAAAAAACGCCACATGTAAACATGGAAGCCGTCTTGCTGCCCTGCACCCAGTCACCTTTCTGGAGGGCATGGACTGTCGCCCGGATAATCCTGACGTGTATTTCACTGATGGTACGGTTATTCCATCGGAAGAGATAATGTCCCTCCACAGTCACGTTTCTGGGGGCCGGTCCGGGACTTAAAAGTGTCTCTGCGAATGAAAGAACAGTGTTATCGGTGAGAGCACCGCACACATCCACCAGGGCAGCGCCAGCCGCCTGCTCTGCCACCGCAGGGTCCTGCGTGAGGTCTGAACCCTTCCTTTCATGCCTGCATCCCCACGGCGAGGCTCACAGCACGGAGGACACGCTCCGTTAGATGTTTATTGAAGACTAGAGAGTGTCAGCGCCTTCAGCAGGCGGCTGCCTAGCTCACTGGCGTGTTGTGGCCACTCCACTAAGACTCGATGCCGTAAGAAGTGAAAGCAAGAAGTGAAAATGATCCTAAAGAATTCTCCAGCGCCCGGCGGTGGGGCTCAGTGGCTGAGCGTCAACCCAGGAACCACGAGGTCATCAGTTCAATCCCCCCTTGGGTCACAGGCGCGGGTTGCGGGCTCCATCCCCAGTAGGGGGCGCGCAGGAGGCAGCTGATCAATGATACTTCTCTCTCGTCAATGTTTCTCTCTCTAAAAATCAATAAAACCATATTGGTTCCCAGATCTGGAGGAGCAGGAGGGGCCCCGAGCCCACATGAGCCACGACCAGGGTGGGGGGCTGGTTCAGGGTCACAAGCTGAGTGTGAGGTAAGGGACGACGGACAGGGACAAACACAGTCCCGGGGGCAGAGGGCTTCCTCATTGTTGTGAGGCTCCTGAAACTCTGCGTGGAAGTGTGATTCTCTAGGACTGCACGGCACTCGTAAGAAGCGCCGTCCGGATGCCTGTGGAAATGATGTCAACGTGTGGCACTGAGTACCTGCGCCGGCGAGGACCTGGCCCAGGTCCGCCGCTTCCTCATAGGTCACGTGTGGGATGACGATGCCTAAAGGGAGACATGGATTAACCTTCCGCGGGCGCCTTCCTCGACGGCAGTTCAAATACTTCCAGCTGCTCCCGGCGCGGTGACTGCTGTTCTCAGGAGATGAGAGCTGAGCTAGCCCCTCGGGTCCGGGCTTTGTCCCGGCCGCAGCCAGCACGTACCTCCCGCAGTGCCGTCCTTTATCCCAGCGTCCAGGACGCTGCCTGGTTCCCCGTAGGCGTCGAGGTCAGTAATGCAGCGAACGTCAAAATTCTGCAGGAATCCCACCGGGGCATCCCGCACACACTGCCCAGCCAGGGAGACCTGGGGGCGAGGGGACCCAACAGGCTGATCACCGGGTCTAATCAGAAAACACAGGGCGACGTCCCGGCCCGAAGAAGGTTCCTCCCGCGGCCGCGCCCCCTGCTGGTGCCCTCGGCTGGCCCACTCGCCAGCTGACCCCTCTACTCAAAGGCCTCGGTGCTAGTCAGTGTGGGAGCCGAGGGCTGGTCACAGTGAGAACTGTCCCGGGGAAACCAAGAAGCCCCGCCCCTCCATCTCCTTCGCAGAAAGGAGATCACACTCAACGCCACTCCCCTCCCTCTTCACACCAGGCTTCTGTTAAAGCCAGTAAAGTGGACTCATGGGAATAGCAGAGACATGGCTTTAGACTCCCGAGTTTTGTTCCCACAAACATTTCTTCCTTAGAATTTTGAACTTAAAAAAAGGGGGGATTTCACATAAAACTCTCTATCGCCTTAAAACGTGTCCCAGCATTCTGGAATGTGTTAAATTACAGACTGATCGCTCACTAGGACGAGGCTGTGGGGGGGACGGGAGCGGCTGGAAGAGGTTAATGGAGGAAAGGAGGACCTAGGTAATACTTCCCACAAAAAAGATTTTTAAAAATAAATAAAAAATAACAGTGGCTGTGAAACTAACAGAAGTGAAGAATGAGTTACTTCGACGGGAATTGACAGCCTGTCTTTGGTTTTGTTGAGTTCACGCTGAGATTTAGCTAAGATAGGGGTTCATTTAAGAGTGACTATGAAAACACACCCAGACACCGTATGTAGCTGGGGGCCTAGAAGATCCATAGGGAAGAATAAGTCACTGAGGGGGTATTTCTAAGAGGAATCGGAGTTAAATTAAAAACGGGGAAACAGTGAGAAAAGGCTGCAGCGCATTACACTGGAACTTAGTACCTGAGGGACAGTGAGATAGGCCTGACCGGCAGTCATAACGGGGTCTCCCTGTTTGTACCCCGAGTCCGACATGTCCTTCGGCTCCGTGTGCAGATATGCGTCAAAGGCGGCGGCGTGCGGCCTCGAGGACCTGGGAGTCAACAAGAAAGATGTTAGTAACACTTTCAGCTCTTACCTGCCAGACCCATTGTTCATTGGCATTTTATTCTTTACTCTTTTTTTATGTTAATCTCAGAGAGGAAGGGAGAGGGAGAGAGATAGAAACATCAATGATGAGAGAGAATCACTGATCAGCTGCCTCCTGCACGCCCCCCACTGGGGATCGAGCCCCAACCCGGGCCTGTGCCCTGACCGGGTATCGAACCCGTGACCTCCTGGTTCATAGGTCGACACTCAGCCACTGAGCCACACCAGCTGGGCTTCTTTACTTTTTTAATTACCAAAATGATATTTGTACTAAATGCCACTGAACTGTACACTTTAAAGTGGTTAATGGTTAATTGTATGTCACATGGATTTCACTTCAATAATAACAATGTTGTAAAATGTCAACAATCCCGGAAGGCGAGGAAAGCTAAAGTCCCCGATGAGCCCCCCACCCCCCTGATCGTCACTACGAACGCGGTGCTGCATCCATCCATCCATTTCTTTCCCAGGAGGCCCGACTCTTTCTGACACAGAATGAACTGACTAACTGGGGTCTGGAACGGAGTCGAGAACTGGATCATTTAAGCTCCTTGCCTTGGGAGAGGTCGCATGAAAAATGGGACCCACATTCCCGTTCCGGAGCCCAGGTGGCGTGGCCCCCCCACCCCCGGCCCCGAGAGCAGCGCCCTCCCCGGCAGCTGCGGGGGACACTCACACAGCCCCGTGGTGGAAGTAACCGAGGAAGGGCGAGTTGGGCCGGCGAGGACTGCACACACAGGAAAGGAAAACCAGCCGGGGGCCCCGGGGGGCCCTCCGCGGCGGAACAGAGGGCTGATCCAAAGGGGGGCTATGTCCCCCCCAAACACGCCGGTGGTGAAGACAGGGCTTCTCTTAAGAGCGCGGGGGACATCGGACGAAGCATTCCCTGGGAAGGAAAACAGACAGGAGCAGGGAGGCACCCAGGAGGGCAAAGGGTGGATTCCCCGCCGGGCACGCGCCTGGGGTGGCGGGCTTCGACCCCCGGTTGGCGGCAAGCGGAGGCAGCCCATGGATGTTGCCGTTTCTCCATCAACGTTCCTCCTCTCTCTCCCCGCTTCCTTCCTCCTCTCTCCGAAAATCAGGTAAAAACGAATTTTAAAAGGAAAGAAGAGCAAGCAAAGGTGTGCGCCCCACCTTGGGCCGCA